TATTCAGACCATAAACCTCTGTGGTTTTCAGGAGAACTTTGACTCTCCCTGACTCCACCCTCAGCCACCATCTCCAACACCAAAACCATTTTTTTCTTCTCTTCCCAGAAAACCTAAGTGTTTGAACAATAAACTTTTCAGGTCCTCTTGGAACATGTGTCATTGTTCTGTACCTCTGAACCAATTTAGTAGGAGTGGTAGAGATATTGATTTTACTATCCGTGGTAGTATCTTAGTCTGTCCAAACTACAGTAACAAAATACTTAGCATTGTGTTATTGGTAACAGAAATTTATTTCTCATAGCTCTTGAGCCTGGGAAGTCCAGGATGAAAGCACCAACAGTGTCTGGTGAAGGCAGCTTCCTTAAAGATGTGTTTTCGCATGTGTTTTTACAGGTGGAAGGGGCCACAAGCTACCTCAAGTCTTTCTTGAAAGGATACCAATCCCATTCATGAGGGCTCCATACTGATAACCTGGTTATCTCCCACAGGCCCCACCTTCAATACTGTCACATAGAAGATGTGACTTTTGGGAGATCACAAATATTGAGACCACAGCATGGGGCAACCACAAGGCACATGTAAACAAACGTGGTGATTTCAGATAACAGTAAACGTCACTAGAAAAATAAAACAGACAGTAAGATAAAGACGAGGGGTGATAGCAGTCAAAGAATGGGAAAAAGCTAAGCTCCACAGAATTATGTGACAACTTCATCTCTTGACTAAAACACAACTTGATATGTTGGGGGCAGTCAGCTATCTTTCAATATTTTTCCTTTCTCCACATTAAAAGAGAAATAATAAGAATAGTAGTACTTCGTTTCTTCCTGTATTGTTAGTTTGGTACATGGCCTCTCAGATGAAAAATAGCATTGTTCAGACTCCCTTTAAGCTAGGAATACTCATGAGATTGAGTTCTCACCAATGGGACCAGACTGGATCAATATTCTGCTTATTGGATATAGACTTGTTTATAACTCCAGTAGTCACATAGTGCACCACATGACTGTGGGCTATCCTAGCACTCTGGAAGAGGATCCTCGTGAGTTTAAGGTCAGCCTGACCTGAATTTAGAGCGAGACCCTAACAAAAATCCTTAATCCCATCTTAGATAATAAAAACTGGCTTTACTAGTAATACATAGTGTGAAAATATAATTAACAAACATTCATTTACAGTGATATTTTAAATTAAAAATTAATTGTTGGGTACTATTTTAACTACATGTACTTGTAAACCCTAGTGATTCCAAAGACTTGTGAATAGTTTCCCATAAAGCAAGCTGGGACTATTTTGATACCATTCATGTGTGAGTCAAGCAAAAGTAGGGAGCAAACAATATTTTGGAGGGCGTACGGATTATGTACTTGAACATGGTGGTGGCAGCTCTTTCTACAAAACAATATAATCACAGTGTCAGTATCAAGTTCTCATATACTTTATTTGCTTATATTTTGATATCATGGTGAAAAATGAATTTTCAAACTTACAACACAACAAAAATAACTATGAAAATTAATAACACCAACTTTGGACTTTTGAAAGCCTACTATGTTCCGCAGCTTTGCAAAATTATATCTCCCCTAGGAAGTTGTGAGAAGTATGTTACTTTTCAACTCATTGCTTTCACCCACAACATGACATTGAACTTCACACTGATAAAGAAATGTGGTTATTCTAGTAATTTCAGCTTTGGGGAAGAGCTTGTAATGGATCCATATCATGTTTACTTGTCTAGATGAAAGACTGAAATCCTTGAAAGCAAAGATGTGTTGCTTTTATCTTTGTTTCACAAGACCTAGCTTGCAATACCAGGCCAACAGTCATTGAGTGCTCAATAACATTTTGTAAAATGAGTAAATACATGAACCCTTTAGACAGAATCAGTAACACAGCTTCTTAGAGTTCAGATTTATTTCTGAAATAAGCATTTAATTCCTGTTTTGTTCTTTACTTTTAGTGATTCTTGAAAGTTTTCACTTTTCTCATATGATGATTTTTCTACTCATACCCTACTCTAGTATTAGGATCCTAAGCTTTTTGCTATGATACTAACAATCTTTCTTAATACTCCTAAAATTGTGTATTCTCATTTCTATGCCTAAGTGGATTTCAATTTAAGATTTTAGACTTTGAGTTGAGTATTTAAGTCTGCATACTACTCATGAGAAAAAGCATAGAATAAAATATTTTTAAAATTTAAAATAGAACTATTTCCCCTTAAAAGTTAAAAGAACTACCTCCTGGGTTGGTGGTTTCAACTGAAGTTTTAAACTCTTCACTCTTACGGTCTTGGGGAGACATCTATTTAGAAAAGCTGCATGCAAAATAACTCTACTCTAGCAAATCACACTTGTGTGTGCTCACGTGGGGGCAGAAGAGTGATGTGGCTAGAGATAGATAATGCTAACAGTAGACATTCATTCCACATTTAAATATTTAGAATTTTCAGTAGCCTGTGAATACAAGAAAATTTATTACATTAAGGTAGACTTAGATATTTGACATGTCGCTGATATTTTCATAGTGTGAGAAATATCAAGCTGACATTATGCTGTCTCTGTGATGATTACTTCCAAATGTCAGAGTGCAGAAACGTATTCACGGGACTTCAGTGCCTTAGGATAGTGTCAATTTAAAAGACATTCACATTGACTTCTTTTTTATTTAAACTTGCTAAATGAAGTATGAAAAGCAGGTTAAGAAATCAACAGAGAAAGGAAGAGTAAAGAAGAAGCCTATTGACTGGAAAAATTTAAATACAGTAAAAGATTACTGTACCCTTACATTAATTTCCATGGACCCCTTGCTGACAGCAGGCTTCAATGACCGCCTCCTAATATTTCTGACAGCTGTAATCATGCTATTCATATTATTTCACTCATAGCACTTATATTGAATTTAGAAATTAGAAATAGAATAAGAACTACCCAATTACTTTGCAGAGTATCTTTAATAAATAAGTCAAATAATTAAATGCTTTCCTACCATTTTTAATAGTAACATTGGATTTTAAACCAAAATCAAATAACTTAGTGATATTTTAAATTAAAAAAAATTTTGTTCACTAATCTCTTTAGCAGTTAATTATGAACCTACTGAACTGTTTGAACTGCTGCTATTTTGGAAATAACTCAAAGGAGTATTTTTTTTCTTTCTTTTAAAACAAATTGGCCACATTAGAGATAGTTTTGAGTTTAAATAAACCTTTGTTTTTCCAATTATATGCACAGCAGTGATCCTGATTACTTGAGGTCATTGAAATCCCCTGGTATCCTCTGAAAAACATTTCCTCTGCAGTCCATCTTGTATTTCCTTTTGGATCTTGGAAGCTAGTATCTTTCACTTTTTGAAATCCTCTTTTTCTTTTAAGCAACAATGGGAATGATGATGATGGTGATATGGATTGTCAGTTCTTCAATCAGACAGATCTATTTTGATTTCTGCAAGTCAGTGACAGGAGCTACTTTGTAGCCACCTAAGTTCTGATTTTTCTCATAAAATGTTATTTTGGACCCCAACAAAAGTTTGAGGCCTTCCTGAGCAAGAGGGGCTGCTTTGGGCGGCTGCAAGATTTTAAATCATTACTTGAGAAACAAAAAGACAATCCCAAAACACTGAAAGGCAGAACTACTACAGAGAATTGTAATCTTGTCCATGAAAATCAGAGTTGAAACAGAATGGATTCCTAATTTTGCTACCGTATTGATATTACTCAAATTTTGAAGTTTAGATATGTCAGCGGTTTGCATGGGTCCTCACTTTAGTGATAATGAAAATTAAAACTAAAGCACTAATTTGTAGGAGAAAGCTTTAATTGAAAGGCAAAAGAAGACAAGGAAAGGACTCTAGGTTGGGTAGTAGTGGGACACGGCACACTCTGATAAAGAGGATGAGACTGGCCCATTAGTGGTGCCAAAGAACCAGTTTTTTGGGTGCTTGTGGTGAGCTTTGGACAGGTCGGTCAATATCTTAGTTCTGGTTTCACAGGTCAGGTTGAACCCTTGTGATTTGAAGGGCGATTTGGTTCCCCTGGGAGGAGTCCTTATGACCAGTCATAAGGGTTATTCCAGTTGTGTGAGGCGCTGCTGGAATCCAGGCTGACCCTATGTTTGGGGCAGTGGAGACTTCTGAGCCTAGATGTTCTGTCTTGAAAGGTAATGAGGTAGGTTGGATAGGGCTAATAGACACACCCTGAATGACTAACATGACTATGTACAGAGCAGAGAAGGATTTGACCCAGAGTTTCATAAAATGAAGGTCAAGCTTTGTTCTACCTTTAATTAACTACTGGGCATTTGTAAGCCCAACTGAAGAATCATAGATTTTACAAAAGCCACTTTTAAGTTCCTGACTGCCTTAGGAAAAAATGCAAATTATGCTTTTGATGTGTAGCAGGTGAAGGGCCCAAGAGTTACCTTGTTCTTTGTTCCTATAGGGGGTTCTGACTACGTCAGGACCATGTCAGATGTAGGATTCAAGGATGATCATTTCATCAAGTATCAGGAGTCACAACAGTGACAAGAGGGCTCAGAATCCAGACCTTGTCCAGAGTCCCGGTGCCAGTGCAGCTTCAGGAAAGTTGCTACCCGTCCCGGGCTTTTTCCAGGATTCCCAGACCTTCTGCTCACTAAGCTCCATAGGCAGCGATTTTTGCGTTTTGTTCACTGCAGTATTTTCCTCACTGGAGAACCAAAGATTCCCAGTCTTCTGGTCTCTTTCCTGATTTTTACTTCCTGATTTCCAAGTTTCTTTCGCCTCCAATCACTTGCACTCCAGCAGCCCAAGGCTGAGTACGGACAGGGACTGAGGGAGTTCAAAGCCGGGGGCTAAAGTTACAGGACTTAGGCCTTTGCTGGTAGGCTGCCCTCAGCTTCTGAAAGCAGAAGGTGGGCAGGGCGGTTGAAGGGCCTTTAACCTACAAACTTCCCTTTCGAGTCAAAAGCAGGGGCTAGTGGGCGGGACTTCTCCTGCCTTCCTCGCCAAGCTGCGCACGCGCGGGCGCCCCCTGGTGGCCGCGAGACCACACGCTCGCGGCCCCAGGGGTGGCGGCGGAAGCCTAGGCGCGGAGCCCTTAAGTCCGTGAGGCCATGGCGGAGCCTGTGCAGGAGGAGCTCGCGGCTCTGGCTGCGATTTTCTGCGGGCCCCGCGAGTGGGAGGTGCTGAGCCGCTCAGGTGACTAACCCAGTGGCGGAGGGACGGGGCGCGCTCCGGACGCCCCCAGGCCTCGGCCGTCCCCAGGCCTCGGCCTCTGTGTTTTCTCCGCGGCGCCCAGAGTCCCCACGGAGGGGCTGGGCCCGCGGTTGGGAGCCCGGTTTGCTGAAGGCTGGATGACACGCAGCGGCGACTGTTGTTGGAGCGGGCAGGAATGTGAGGAGACCCCCCGAAAACGCGATTAGAGTGGCGCGTCCCGCAGGGGGGTCCCGGGCTGCGGGCTCAACTCCTGCTACGCGGCGGGCCCTGCGCGCCGGCTGCGTCCTCGCCCGGAAGCCACTGGTCTCCTTGATTCTGCTTGTGCTTCCCGATCTCGCCTTCAAAGAGCCCTATGCCGAGCCCTTACCCTCCAGTCGAAACCCAGCTCCCCCAAATCGCTCCGCCCCCTTGCTAAGCACTGAGCATTATTTCCCTGGACAACTCTCGGCAGTGCTAACCCTACACCGTGTTTGGTTGTCTTCAGTTTCATTGGGACAGGGTCCGAATCTGTTTGCTAATTTCAGACCTCCTGGAGCCTACACCTGTTAGGTAGTTCGGAAATGTTTGTTGAATGAAATTTTGAATTCGTCCAGTGTTCAGCCCTAACCTTATCTCAGTTATATTTCCAAGTTGACAGCTTTTCTCCTACTTTTTCTAGCCCCTGAAGGGTGGTTGTCAATTACAGGCTTTTAGGAGTGCATTAATCACTAGCTCTCATTTACTGATTCCCTGTCCGCTGGAAACATCCACAGGGCCCTGTCTTTTCTTCTAGGAACTTACAGTCTACACAGCTGGCTCGCGCCCCTGCTTTCCTTTCTCCCTCTTTCCCTCCCTCCCCTTCCTTCCTTCCTTGGCTGCTTTTTTGATAATAGCTAAAACTTACCCCTGTTTCTGTCTTGGCTTCTGTAAAAAACAAAACTACCATTTATGAGAAGGTGCAGCAATGCAGAAAATTCTCGATTTTCACTTATCTTTCAAATGTATTAAGTACATTTTGGGGTCCATAGGATTTATCCCTCTTATATTACAGTGTAACTGCTATTGAAATTAACTTTCCCACCATAAATTGTTCGACTGTTAAAAAGGTAGTGTAAAATGTGATGGATTTGAGAAAGTCTCCTAGGAGTTAGTTTCACGGTCTTCTTGTGGCGAGTTACTCGTTCACAGAATGGGAGTTGGCACCTTTTCATTTATTCTTTCTTGCATTCACTTGCCTGCACACCTTCATGGAGCACTGTTATGTCCTAAGCACTATGAACTAATTAGAGTAATGGGGCTGCTTTCTTTTTAGTGCCTAATCCTGTCTTGTACTTTTGGAAACAATTTCTTAAAGTCCATATGAAGAAATCCTTTTAGTGTGGGCTTGTCGCCCCTCTTTTGATTGAGTAGTATTCCTATTCTTTACCATCTGCCTTTCTGTCTCCACTCCTGTCTTTGTTGGTAATTCTGCCTGAGGCAGCTATTTGAAGAGACTGTTACTTTTCCTAAATTCCTTTATCATGGCTCAGTTGGGAATATTTGGAAAAATGAACCTGTGCTGTCCCATCACACCTTAAAGAAGTGGTACTGGTAGGGGTTTGGGCTGAGAGTGCATGGTTGAGCACTAAACTCTGCTGGTGGATCAGAGAAAACCCAAAACAGGAAGGGCTGAAAGGCAGAGAGCAGTTTCTTAATATTGAGAACACTGTGGACCTTTTATCTGCTGTTAAATTGAGCATAACTTTCAAGCTATGCCTCCCAATTAATTTAATTCAGTGTTCTGGCATCAATAAGTAATTGAATTATAAAAGAATTCAGTGTAACAACTTAGGACATTTTGTTGCTGAAAGGTTCATTGGAGAGTAGAACAGTTCAGTGACTGACATAGGGATGTTTGATGCTCACAGCTGGGAATTAAGGGTTAGGTAAGGACTTCTTTATCAGACCACAGTGAACATGCAGCAGGCTGCTGGCTACCACTGTCACCGATACCGTCAGTCTGGACTGCAGGATGTGGCTGTGAAGCCCATTGGTTCTGTCTTGGCTTTCCCCAAATAAGCTCCTTGTTCTGATGGAGTCAGGAAAACAGTGGAGAGGGCTTACAGTTCTGGTGAGAAGACAGCCCAGGAACACACAGGCTGCTAAACCTAGGTCAGCTATTATATAAGGCTCTAAGATTGAAGAGGCTGAATAATTTGATTCAGCTTAGTGGGATTAATTTATGCTAAGAAACTTAAAGGATTTATCTACATATTGTCCTCCGCAGTAGTTCTGGTAAGCTCATAGTAAGAGGCATCAGGTGTGACAGTCTCTTAGAGGTGAAATTATAAGAGGCCCCACCCTAGCTTGAGAGAAGGCTGCGGCTAGACCAAATCAGGGATATTCTGTTCATCCCCATGCAGCGTATTCAGCCCAGATGCCAGGCTTAATGTGGTCACTGCCATCTAAAATTTTATATGCTTCTTATTTGGTAAGAGGTACTCTTCACTTTATTTTGCAGGGAAGATAACTGATGCTTAGACTGATAAATAACTACAAGGCCCCAGCATGTATGAACCTTTACACTGAACCATGTTCTTTGATAGTCTTGGGCCTGCTGCGTCATGAAAACAGTTCTTAGCAAAGAAATACTTGTCCAGAAAGAGCACTAAAGAGCACTCAGAACATGGGTGAGACCTAGTCTGTGCTCAGAACAATCCTGAAGGGGAGTGTGCATGTGTGTGTGTGCGTGTGTGTGTGTGTGTGTGTGTGTGTGTCTTTGTGTTCCAGTGAGGTAGGTGAAGTTGGTATTGTTATATATCTTTATTTTCCTGATGGGTCATAGAGATATTACTGTAGTTGGTGCTCATTATATGTAGGAGTTGTATTTTTGGAAATTATATTTTGGAAATTCAGATAAAAAAGTTATAAGGGCTGGGGATTTAGCTCAGTGGTGCTGTCACCTGCCTCACAAGTGCAAGGTCCCGAGTTCGATCCCTGGTACCCGCCCCCCCCCCGAGTTATAAAATGAGAGGCATATAAAAGCATTATCACCTAGAATGTTTGCATAGAGTAGATGTTTGTATTTGATTAATGATAATGTTCAGATTGAATTGGATCCTTTTGCAAAATGAATTATGACTGTCACACATTGAGCCCTCTAAGTATGCTTAGCTGTTCCCTGATTGTCAGAACCTAGCACACCTCTGTAAAATTGATTCAGCTTTGAACTTTTAAAAGACAAGATTGCCAGGTTTAACTTCATTTCTTTTTTTTTTTTTCTTTCTGTTGTAACCACATTTTAAACAAATGTGAAAATCCAGCTGAAGCATAGAGCAACCATTTGTGAATTTATGCTGTGTTGCGCTACCTGGGAGTAAGAGGAGAGAAATTCCTGTCACATGAGGTAGGAGGGGTGTTGGTAGTTTCTTTGAGGTTTTCTGCACAGTTTTACTAAGAGGATCTCTAAAAATCAACCAATAAGCAAGCAAAATACTCCTCAGAAAACAAGTATAGAGAACTTAATGGTAAGTTATACTTAGCTGTTATGTGATATATAAATGATTTCTCATTGGATTCTAAATGAATCCTAAAGAACTCATTCTCTTAAATGTTGTTTACCTTTTCCAATATCTTCTGTGTTGGACTGCATTTCTCAAGCTTTTGTTGTATTTTGTAAACTAAGAAATAGAAACCTTAAAAAAGTGCAGTTTATTTTCTCCAGTTTAATTTCTGCCGTTTAGAGTGTGGTTAGGAACATGCTTTCTTTCATGTATTTGTAAGGAAGGATAAGATTTGAAACCTATTTCATTTTTTAGCTATGAAATAGGTAAAGTTTTTATTATAAGACAGAGTGCCTTAAAAAAAACAAGTAGCAAATAAATATATTTGGGCAAGACCTGGAAGGCAGACCTGCATTTTTGGTAGGGTCTATAAGTGGATAAAAATACGTAGCCTTGGAAATTAAGAAAAGTTTAGTTTGCTAAGGCAAGCATAAGTTCTGTGAGGCATAGATGTTTATTGGAATGGCGAATTTGTGTGCATAACTGAGTTTTGGGGGTCAAGAGTGGAGTAGACATTAGCATTAGATTTAGAGCACAATTATTAGTCTGTTAACCACTCCATTTCTAAGCTGTTAATAACCTTAAAGCAGTTAGGGACAACTTTGTTTCCTTTTTTTTTATTAGAGGAAGAAAAAGAAAAAAAAAACCCCAAAAATTAGACTTATAGTGCAATGTGACACAAGAAAAATTCTGGGGCAAAAAAGAGCCAGCTTAATTGCTTGTACCAATTAAGGCAGATGAGAAATGAAAGGGTAAGATACATAATTCTGGAGTTTTAAGGAGAAAAATGTGTTTTAAAAGATTATGCAATTTTATCACCCCATTAAATATCAGCAGAATAGAATGTTACTGGGTTTTTCATTTTCTTACAGAGAGCATCATTTTGTGTAGTTTTAATGTGCAGCTAGTGTATATGTGGGGGCAGGGATTTGCCAGGAAGACCAATTAGGAAGACTTAATCCTTTCCAATTCTTAAAAGAACCAAAGCAGTTTTTCTTCTGAACATGTATTATAACCAGGAGTTTCACAGTTTTCTAAGGTGAAATCAGGGAAGTCCACTGCCATTCTCTTTGTTTACTAGGACCAGAAAACAACAGAGAAAAATATGAAAATTGGTGAGGATTTTATGGCTGGACCCTCCCTGCCCCTTTCAGCTTTTAGAGCTGTATTTCTTGTGTCCCTTGGCTCACAGCCCCTGCTTCAACTCCAAATCCTTCAGCATAGCATCTTGTGTCTGTGCATGCATTGCCTCCTTCTGTGGTAAAATCTCCCTCTGTCGCTCTGTTAAAAGGATACTTGTGACTACATTTAGGGCCACCTGGGGAATTCAGTGTAATTTTGCCGTCTCAAAATCCTTAATATAATCATGTTTGCAAAAGCCTTTTACAGTGTAAGGGGATATATTCACAAGTTCTGGGCGAAAGGATATACACATCTTTGGGTCTGTTAATTAGCTTATCACCAATACCAAGGACTTTTGAACTTGTGAGTATGATTACAAGCTACTTGCATAATCCTAAGAACTGTACAACTGTAAGATTTAAGTTTCTTGTATACCCTCCTAGTTCTGATTTATATCTAGATGTTCCCCCAAAGCCTCACGTGCTCATAGGTGGAGCTTTTGGGAGGTGATTGGAGTGTGGGGTGTGATACTCATCACTGGATTAGTCCACCGATGGTTTTATAGCTGGGTATGATGATGGGAGGTGAAGCCTGGTGGGATGAGGTGGTTCATTGTGGGCGTGGCCTGGAAGGGTCTATCTCCCTCCCTCTTCCCATGATGCCTCTCTGCTTCCTCATACTGTGTCATGAGCTGTTTCTCCCCTGCCATTCTCCTCTGTCATGCTGCCCCATCTGAGAGCCAGCCTACTATGGACTGCCACCTTCACAGACTGAAAAATAAACCTCTCCTTCTTTTACTTGTGGATGTTAGGTACTTTGTCGCAGCAGCCAGAAAGTAACTAAGGCATTCTCCCCTCTTCCTTTTTGGTGGTTGTTTAAAAACAAAGTTGAGATACTTCAGTGGTGGAGAAAATGTTGATTTGGTCCAACCACAAGTTCGGGGTCTGAAAATATGGTAACAAGTTGAAAATACTATGGGCGTTGTCAGGCAGGCACTAGGGAGGTGCTGCGGATGTTGACAGAATGCTGGTAGATGGCAAGTCAAGGGCCTTTCGGGCAGTTGGAAAGCAAGAGCAAGGTTCAGCGATTGGAAACCAGAGACTGCGTTCAGGGTATCGTGCAAAATGGATTAGTTGGAGCTTGGTGTGGAGATGCACACCTGTAACCTCAGCACTGTAGGAGGCTGAGGCAGGAGGATTGCAAATTCGAGCCTAACCTCAAAAGAAAGGAAAGGACGAGGAAAGAAAAAAGGAAAGTAAGTAAGTAAGTGTGGGCCAGTGATATAGATTAGTACAAAGACTGTGGGTTCAATCCCGAGTACTGGGTGGAAAAAAAGGTTAGATGAAGCAAGGACTGAAGACAGAGGAAGTTGGTGACTGAGGCTGGAGGGGTAGGCTGGCCCTGTGTATTGCATGGAGGAATTTGAAAGAGAGGCAGGTAGTGCAAAAGACTCTGTTGCAGAAATGAAAAACCTGATTTTAGGAGGGTGACTGAAAAGGCGAGAAATTCCATAGAACTTGTGGTAGGAGTTTGGTGATTAAATGTTAGGTGTGAAGCAAGAAGGGAGAAAGAAAGAGAATTGTGCCCTTGTGGAATGCCTGTGCATTTAGGGATTTCGGAAAAGAAGACAAAGCAGTGAAGGAATGGGCAGAGATGTAGAAAAAGAACTAGAGCTATGTGGTGTCTGGGAGATAGGGGAAGAGAGATTTCTAGGAGATTGGTTTAACAGGTGCAGATGCTGTAGAAGCGTCGTAGGTCACAGTAAGGCCATTGATTGCAGGCATGTCAGGGTCTCCAAACTATCCTTAGACTCAATGATTTGCTTAGAAGGACTCAGAAAAACTCTTATACTCTGGGTTGCAGTTTGTTCTGGCAAAATGATGTGGACTAAAATCAGCAAGGAGAAAAGGCTCATGGGATGAAGACCATGAGAAGCCAGGAGCAAGCTCTTCCAAGTATCCTCTTCCAGTGGAGTCATACAGACATGTCAAAATCTCAGAGCAATAATGTATGACAACATGTGAGAAATGTTGCCAGCAGGAACGCTAACTTGAACCTTGATGCCCATATTTTTTAATGGTGCTCAGCCATGTAGGCATGAAACACCTGTGTGACTGACTCCAGCAACTCAGACTTCAGTCTCTAAGATTAAGAAGATTCACCATGAATTGCATTGTTAGCATAAACTATTTAATCAAACGGTGACCATGTGGCTCAAGGCTATGGGCATGCAAACAATACTCTTAGACAGAAATTAGAAGGATTCAGTGCTCATCTCTATGGAGCCAGCCATGGGTCAGTCCAACAGATAGGGCTTTCTTAAAAATGTGCAGGTTTGAGCAACCTATGCCTGCTGAGTTATCTCTTTCCTGCACGGTAGCAATTAGGTCTTCGGGAACATTTGAGAATGAAGCTTCAGACACAAGTGATGTTAGAAGCCACAATACAAGCAGTTATGGAGAGCGATTCGCTTATGGGAAAATGGATGCAGATATTGAGAATTATATTTTACAGGAACTGAGGATGAAGGGATAGAAAGATAGGCCTGTGGCTTAATGACTTTAATTGGATTCTCTTTTTCTTGTGGGAAAGATCAATGTTTTGTAAGTAAAAGAGAAAGAAATATTAGAGACAGAGTTGGAAAATACAGGGCACAAGTGGTGACAATTGGAGCAATGTCTTAGAGACAGTAGGGTTTCCTATGGTAGGGAGAAAGACACTTCTTTTTCTGTGGAAGAGTGAAAAAGAGAGCAAGGTAGTGAAAGAATGTGTGGGTTGTCAAGTGGTTAGGCAGTTCCTAAGCAGGAGTTGGGTCACCACGCAGTTCCATAGATTCAGTCTGAAGGACATGAGAGCCAGGTGGAATCAGACAGCCTTGCTCATCGCACAGCAGACAGCATGGGCATCATGTGTCTCTTGATTCTCCTTGCCCTTTGTCCCATAGGTGGTAGGAAGGTAGGCCCAAGGAGATGTGTGCACACAGTGGATCTTTGTCACAGCTGAGGAACACTGAACTTAAGAGCCCTCTAATCTTGAGGAGATCTGTTCACTCTGATGCAAACATTTCATACATATTGTATATGTATATCAAAATATTGTATCCCATACATATCAATTAAAAATAATTTAAAATAAGCAGAAAGAAATCCTCTGATATTATAAGGGAGTTACTAGCAATTCTAGTCCAGCTTTGTCCTGAAGGAATACGTTCTTTACTATAGTGGTCAGGAAACAAATCTGCCTCCTGAGTCAGAACCTCTCTAGCTTCTGATGTCATCTGTTATGCAAAGGTCTTACAACAGAGCTCTCAGTGCCTTTCTCAGAAGCTCTTCAGAGATGCCGGACCATGGAGGATTATCTCCCAAGGGATGCACACATCATTTATGTGAATTATATGTACATGTATATATATTTCCAAATAAAGACATTTTTAGGTGTAGAGATACGTCCCGAAAGATGACTTTGGATATATCCGTCCTTTCCTGTTCTGAAACACTGGCTTGAGTTAATGTGACAGGATCCATATCTTAACCATTGATTTCCCGAAGAGACCAGTATAGTACCTGGGTCTTAGCAGGCACTCAGTGAATGTTTCTTGAATAGTGTATGATTGAAAAGAATGGTTGTCGAATGATGGATGAATGAATATATTTAAAAGTTGCACTTCCTCCTTGAGAGTGAATGTGGATCTCCTCAATGAAAACTGGAGAGTTTATTCAACCTAATGTTCATACTTTATTTGCAGTTCCATTGATAATGCCCATTTCACGTAGATATAAGATGTATTAATCTAACTGACATAAAGGAGTCTACTTGAACAATAAAATATATATTTTAAAAAGATAGTGAAAAAGAGAAAGGTTTTGAGAAATGTGATAGATTTTAGAGGAATGTACCTGGTTAGGTTTAGAAAATCTTTATATAGCACACATTTTACTTATGTAATATAAATTTAAATTATAAATAATGAATGGTTGGTTGCTGCTTGTGTTTCTGGGTAGTGTCCTAAAATAGTAATTCTTTGCAGCTGGCACTGACATCTTTTAAAGAAAAACTCTGTGTAACTGATGTGCTTGGTCTTGTATGAATCAGTATCTATAACAATGGCTTTTATATACATGGAGTCCGATGGCTAGGAAGCAGTTTTAATATTCTGTTGGGTTCTTTAAAGTAAGGATACATTCAGGTTTCAGTTGTTGAGACTGTTAAGCAGCAATCCAGGTATGAAAAAGAAAGATTTGACTGCTTCCCTTGTAAAGAGGAATAAAACAAGGACATAGGTGAAAGAAGTAGGTAGAGAGGCAAGTTCACCTCAAAGAGATTCATTTACACCCTTCTCTGTTCTCATCTGTGTGCTTCTGCCCCGTGCAGAATGAATCAGCCTGATGTTTTATCAACTTCTTGAAAAGTGGGGTGAAGTGGTGTGGAACACATCAGAGGGGTGAAGCCGAGCAAATCTTAAAGAGAGGAGAATATTTCATCTCATATCCTATATGCTCCCCTCCCTTCACAGCCAGAAGAGGCTGAACTGATGTCCACTCAATTTCAGTTCTCCTTGCTACTCATGTTACACTGATAGTAATACATGTAAAGTAAGAAAAGAGCAAGTCCGGGCAGTTACAGTGTCCCACACAGTCACCAGTTTCTCTGCCACCTTGCAGCCTCAGATTCCAGTGTGGCTTACCACACAGTGACCTTCAGGACTGAATATATAACTTTGTAATTACTGATTTTATATATACATGTGGTAGTGTTTCTTTGAAAGTTCCTAAGAATTTATGAGTGAGTTCTAGTTTATCAACTAAGTGGGGCTAGAAAAAAAAATTATATGACAAAAATCCTTTTTGGTAACTTAATAAAAATAGGTGATAGTAAGTGTAAATGTCAGGTAAATCCTAAGTGCTGATTATTTCTTCCCACCATACACATACATTGAATGGCTTTCTTAGTATTGTGTGCCTCTTCATATAATACAGTTTTCCCATGAGGAGTAAATTGACATTTGAAAGAAGATTTCTAACTTATTAGTATTCCACTCAAATTGAATTATGTGCAGCTAATGATTATTTTTGGATGCCTTCCAGAGAAAGATGGGACTGTGTTCAGAATTTACACAAAAGCTGAAGGCCTTACAGATGCGGATATACCCTTGGAGTTGGTGTTCCATTTACCGGTCAATTACCCTTTGTGTCTGCCTGGTATCTCAGTTAACTCAGAACGTTTGACCAGAGGCCAGTGTGTGACTGTGAAAGAGAAGTTACTTAAGCAAGCGGAGAAGCTTTTGCCAGAGCCCATGGTTCATGAGCTGGTTCTTTGGATCCAGCAGAATCTCAGGCATGTTCTCAACCAACCAGAAACTGGAAGCAGCAGTGAGAAGTGTACTTTTTCAGGAAGCATGGCTGTGGATGATGGATTGTGGGTAACTCTTTTGCATTTAGATCACATGAGAGCAAGGACAAAATACATCAGAACTGTGGAGAAGTGGGCTTCAGATTTAAGGCTGACAGGAAGACTGATGTTCCTGGGTAAAATAATACTGATTTTACTACAAGGAGACAGAAACAGCATCAAGGTGGCAAGTTAAATGTTCAATGTGAATCTGGTTATTTTATGCTTAAAAGAGTATGTCTCTTGACTGTGTTTTATAACAATGGGATTGATTAATCATTAAGATGTTTCTGCTTTCCCTATTACCATGTTAATGGATTTTCATTTTCTTTTTCAAGAATGCCTAATTCCTAATTGCAACTATAAACTTACAAAGCTCAAGGATAGGTATATATTAAAAATCATGCCACTTAATGAAAGTGACAGGTTATTAAAAAGAAAAAAACTTCTGGTTTTTTGTAAAAATGTGTTTGTTTTTGTAATTAGCTGTGAAGCTCAACTTTATAAATGTGTACTAAATGTCTGCAAATAATAATATTTCTTTCCATAATTACGTGAAGCACAGTATATATTTGTAGATAGTCTGTAAAATTTGTAACTTACTGATCATTAAAAATACATTCTGACACATTTAACTTTATACCTATAATACCTGAAAAAGGGAGGCTTGTCCCTTATAACAGAGATTTAGTGTTAATAGAAGTAGAATCATTAGAACTTTGGCCTGTCATCTCCTACCTACCTTCTGTTTTCCACCTGACTTGTCTCAGCAGCTGCTTTCAAAACCGTCATCTTTAGATTTTTCACATACTTATTTTAAACCCTTCTAACCTGTTTTATGAGGCACCAGACAAGGAACATTGCTTATTATATTTTAAATGTTAGAAGAGTCACAAGTCACTTAAGTTTTATAATTTGAGATAGGTTGGGTCAGGAATCATTACAGTAGAATTTATTTAAAACAGATTTAGTGTGAACAACCTATAATCTTAAAGACTTATAGAATAACGACTTGGTTTTTTCAAGATAAGTTCTTATTACAAAATTCCTTTGGCATTTGGTTAACCAGATTCATGCTGGGCTATAGTAGATAGATGAAATAATAATTCAAATTAAATATATATTTTGGATTGGGGCCTGATCAAGGAAGTACATATTTTAAGGCAATTTGTAGTATATCTATAAACTTTGATTTGAGTAAAATACTAGCTGACAAAAATGAGACAAATTAATTTTCTTGCTCGTATTTAGTAAAAGGCTCAGATTTTTCTTTAAGCTAGCTCAGGCATATTAGGATAAATGCAGCTGTTTTGTAAATATTGTTACTCAGGTTGAATCATCAATTACTTAAGCATTTTTACATATTACTAGAACTCTGCTAAAATAGAGAAATGATACATTTCCAAGAATTTTTTAAAGCTGTCTTTAAAATGTCCTTTTATATGAATTTCTCCATTAAATTTTTGTAAGATCATTTCCTGGGATGGAGAATGTGCAGATGAGTTTATAGATGCCACCAGTTTGGAATGGTGAGTGCTGTGTGCCTTATAACCTCATTCGGTTGCTGGGTTGGCAGTAGCAGCATCACCCTGTGCTCAGAAGTGGGTGATAGCATTACATGTCCGGCATTCCTGTAAGTGCTTTGCATGTAATATTGCATTCAATCATCATAGCTTCTCCTGGAGTTAGAGCCTGTTATGAGTACTATTTTATAGAGGCAGTTAACTCAGGCACAGAGGATTTAAATAACCAGCCCAGAATCAGAGGTAGTAGACAGGCAAGTCCAGATTTAATCTTGATAGTTTGATTATATCGCTCTTTATTTCTGTATTTACCAGGACATTATTCTGCCATGCATGTAAGACCACTGTGTAACTCTCTTACTGCATGGTTCAGAGAGTACTCTTTTAGCATGAAAATAAGCCTGCAGGTTTATGGGTCTTTTAAAACTGAGACTTAGAAATTCAGAGTAGGATATGTATTTAATGTACTGATTTATCATTTAGGAGTACCTGGTTCTTCAGAAAACCTCCAAAGTAGATGTGGACTCAAGTGGAAAGAAATGCAAAGAGAAAATGATTAGTGTACTGTTTGAGACAAAAGTACAGACGGAACACAAAAGGTATAATTTAGTACTATTGCAGAAGGAAAAGCAACTGAATCGATAATTATACTCTGACAAATCTAGGCATATTCATGAGTTTCTTTTGTATAATGCAGGTTTCTGGCATTTGAAGTCAAAGAGTATTCAACATTGGATGAGTTACAAAAGGAATTTGAAACTGCAGGACTTAAGAAGCTTTTCTCTGAATTTGTAGTTGGGCTGGTAAAATAAAATTAAAGATAAGAATCTTTTAGTAAAACAGCAGTGTTTTTTGTTGTTTTTGTATTGGCTTGGGGGAGTGGCTAATCGAAGTAGTCATAAGGGAGCGATTTTAAAGTTTCCCTGTAACAAAATCATTATAATTTCAGGAACGAAAGCCAGTTCTGTTTTATAGAATATTAAATATGAAAAGAGCCCATATATTCTAATGTTTACTAGGAAAGAATAGGTTCGATATATGGAGCATTATTTGGAAGACAGATTAAAAAAATATGTTGGTAAATGAGCCCTTGTTTTTGTATAGACAATTTGTTTGGAACGATGTAATTTTCTGGCTAGTTTTCTTGTAATTAAATGATTTTTTAAAAAGATTATTTTCATATTTACTTTTTTCCATGTTTACATTTTTTAGCATTTAATCATGATTTTTCCCCATTCAGCTGATTATGTCTAATGTTTTAAGTTGATTGTTAAGAAAAATATAACACTGATTTCTTTGTGGAATTGCATAAATCACTGGTATATATACAAACCAAAGACATTCTATAGCACCTGATTTATAATTGCTTTGTTTTGGGCTCCATGTACTTGATAGCTATAGGGCTACAAAGTCTATTTAAATTGAAATTCTTATTTGAAAAATGTAACTTCTGGTTTTATAAGGGGAGAAAAGCTCATTTGAAATGAACTTGGCTTGGTGGAAAGAAATTATATAGAGACACTTTTTTATTATGAAATCTTTTAGATCATGATAAAATATATTATGACCTAAGAAGAGATGAATTAACAAACGCTTGTATTAAAATCTGTAACAAAAAATATGAGACCATTTGTGACTGAGAAAGGACATTATTATGCATGAAGCCACCTAGGCTTCTGAAATCAGGGGTTGAGTCATGGAAGAAAACCCAAGTGGATCTGTCCCACTGCAACCTGTGAAGTACACTGATGTCATTATAAAATTATAACTGGTGGGAGAAAAGTGAGGAAAACATCATGGTGTGCTGAGTAATATTTCTTGACAGTGTGCTGTTCTGTGACCATGATGGTTCAGTCTGATTATCTTCTTTTCAGGCACTCTAGTTATTAAATGATGACTACCTGTTTTTCATTTTGTGGAGTTCTGTTGATGAGTGGAGATTTTTCACTTTATTTCATCTCACTCAGGGGTGTTGGTGATTTTTTTCCTGGAGAACTGGCAAATGTAGTTAGATTTGTATATGAGAGAGTACACATGGCAAAGGAAAGCTACCCTAATTATGTGCAGAAGTGAGAAAACAGGCTTATGAGTTTTGGGCTGGTCCTTATTATCCTTTTATTTGATGTACTATAGTTTTAGGGAAAGATAAAACAAGGAAACATAATAGGGTCAGAATATTGACCATATTTCACAGGGAATCTTCTAACAGTAATAGGAGGAGGAGGTTAGGTGTCAGTTGTATTACAACAATGTCTGGTCCTTTGTTTTACCTTGACTCTTTCTGTTAATGTGTGTTCCTGCTCCATGTGTTATGATACTTTTTCAGACCTTTCATGTTTAACTCTACCTTGGAAAAAGAGTTTGGTGCAAATCAAATAGAATATTAATAATTACTTTTTCCAATCTAATTATATTTCTCTCTGCTAAAATTAGGTAATTCGGTAAAAAAGTATTGGCTTTTATTACTTTCTTTGATGTTTACAGCTCAGTCTTTCACAAATACACATCAGAATGGAAAGCCAAACCTTGACGGGGTTGCGATTTATATAAATTTTTATTTGAGCTTTAGGCAGAATGAAAATGTAAAATTATATACCAAAAAGCTGTGAGAGTCTCTTGGTATTGCTTTGGTTTTAATAGTAGAGAATCTTAATTGTTTCCACTGGTATTTTTGCTACAAACTTTGCTGCTGTCCTCTGTGATTATGAAAAAAAATAATTGGGATTTCAGCTTCCATTAGAGCAGACCAGTTCCTCATTGAAGAAAACAGAGATCAAAATACAAAACTCATCCTCTTAAAAGTATCAAAGTCGAGAAGATAGAATTGCTGGGCTTAACCTGGAAGGGAACAGGAATCTCCAGAGAAGTAAACTTAGGACTTTGGGATATTTTCCCCTATGATACATTAGCAAAACCTGGAAGACTTTGCTGAAGAGCTGTTATTTTTGTTAGCTTGAACACATACATAGTAAAAATTTGGGGCATGGAGGAGAGTGGAGGTGGGAGACTTGAAGCTAAGTCTCCAGAAGGACTACATTGTAGAAGCAAGGGTAACCTATAAATAAACCAGTTGTCCTTGATTATAGCAAAGCTTTGAAGATTCTGGGTAGGTACAGAAAAATTTTAAATCTTGAACTAGGATTAAAGAGATCCATGATTCTGAAGCTCTCAAATCCTCCAGATCTTCTTTGGAGGAAGATCATATCATAAACCTCAAATTATATCTGTGAATTATTTTAAAATTCAGTATCTAACAAATAGCCAGAAGCAACTGGATACATGAAGAAACAAGGTACTGAGAGAAATTATAAAAGTAGTAGATAGGGCTGGGGGTTTAGCTCAGTGGTTCTAGCGCCTGCCTCGAAAGCGCAAGGTCCTGAGTTTGATCCCCAGTACAAAAAACAACAAAAAAAAGTAGACAAAAGAAATAGACCAGCAGGGACTCCAGATGTTGACACTATCGGACATAGATCATGAAAGTTATGCTTAATATGTTCAAGGAGATAAAACCCAAGCTTGAAACTGGAATCAGAAACTGCAAATGTGGCATGGTATATTTGAACAAAACCAAACAATAAAACTAATAGAAATTTTAGAACTAAAAAATGCAAGAGTTCAAGGTATAGTTAATTCGGTAAGGTTCTAGTCTGGAATTCAGAAACCAATCTAGGTACTTCAGAGTAGTTTAGAACAGGCATCGGTTACATATGAGAAAGGCTGGAAGAACAAAGTGAGGGCTCGATGAAAAGAGGAGGATGATACACTCAGAGTTCAGAAATGGCAGTCTCCCCCGTTCCGTTACTGGAGAGATTGCAACTGATCCTCGATCTGCTCATATTCTGCCTGGACTGGAGCTAAACTTTCTGACAGGTTTGTCTCTGATCTGCTGGAGTCTGGAATGACTCCACTCCATTGTCACTGTGGCAGCTGCCAACAGCTACTACAGTGCTGGAATCTGGGCTAACTTTTGATTGCTCAGAGTGTCTCTGGTTGACAAACTTAACAGGAATTGAACTGGCAAGTCTGTCTGGGAAATGTAGTTTTCAGAATCCCAACCTCAGAAAAAACAGAGCATGCTGTAGGAGGATAGGGATGTGTGTGTGAAGGGGACAGGAGGGGCTAAGCACCCTCAGGGAGTAACCAGCACCACCCATCCTTTTGGCAATTAAGCACCTACACCTACCCTTCTGCACGTATTTAAGTTTCTACACAACAGTAACAGTATTATACAAACTTAACTTTCATGCAAAGAAAAATTTCATATTCTCCCAGAAAAGGGGAGAAACAAAGCTTTCCCAGGTATCATTATCCTTACGTGTTAATTCTACTAGTTTCTTTACAATCCCTCATAGATATTCTGTAAGCTGAAGATTTAACTAAAATTCGCTACCACCAGCACTGCCTGAATAATACAGTAGGGGACAGGAGGTTAAAAAGTTAGTCACTGTATTCAAAGGTATACAGAACAAGCAATGAAGCAAATTTACGTAGTTACTTTGATACTTGTTATAACTGTTGGTCTTGAAGCTCTAGTTGGTATTTATAACTTCTTCCTTTATTTGGTTTTTCTTTGTTCCTGGCCAGCACTTCAGCTCTCAGGCTTTTTTACATAATAGGGTTTTTAACATTCTGAAATAGTCTGAGTCTTTAGCAGTTGTGTTGCTACTTTTACTATTAAATGAGAGTTTAAAGAGGCAATCCAGAGGATTCCTGACATAGTCCTTGTTGACCCTATTATGTAGCAGCAACCCAGCATCCCTGTAACACTATTTATGGTGGATCCCCACAATTTGCAGGGATGTATCCCTAGAGCACCTGCCAGTTGTGAAAAGCCACGAATTTCAGATACGGTCAGCAAATGCCTATAAATGCCTGTTTTAATAGTTTAAACCCAATTTATGCTATGTCTCCTGCAGTTATGTAATTTAATAAAATACTGTATATAGTACTGTAATAATTTAAGGAAGGTATTGTTCAGCCTTCTCCTGTAGTGTCTGAAACTTCTTCTGGTGCTTAGGTTCATTGCCAGAAGTCTTAGAAGGTGCAGGGCATTTTGGTGGCATCTTAGGGCTTTAAGAACAAAACCGAGAACACTCCAGATAGTTACAGGGCACAGCAACTTGTTATGAAGTGGGAATGCTGGTGCATCTGCCATGGGTTATAGGGCAGTAGCCATTCAGCAGCAAAGAGAAAATAGATTGGCTATTTGCAGACCTCCTGCCAAAAAAAAAAATGTGGAGGATATTTGTGGTTTCCAAGAAATTGTGAGGGGTTTGGTGAACAATTATTATTTAGGTTCTAAAGAAAAATCCATGAATGACAGAGGCCATGAACTCTGAACCTTAACTTCATGAGAGTGTACTGTAGAATAATCACCCCAGCCAATACAGGAACCTGTTTATTGGTTAGTGTCATAGGAGTCCAAGGTATCCGTCTCATCTTCAAATAGATTTGAACTATGTATGGGTTCTAGTAGAAGCATCCTCTCCTTGTGAGTCAAGAGCTCTAAATCAACATAGCCCAAATTTTTAGGGATGAGAATAAAAATTCTGTGATAGAACAACCATATAATACTGGGAAGAATGAGTCCTATTTTATCCCTTATCTCTAGACCCATGTGTTCTGGCAGTGGAAGAAATAATATATGTTGACCACTGGCTCAAAGTATATGCTACATTTTATATGAAAGCACCTCAATCTCTGAGTGACTTGTCTCCCATTTGTCTTACTGAGTTTTGAGAGGCCATTATATTATTTTTTTCAAGCTGGATGATTTGGTACATGGAAAGACCTGTGAATTTTATACTCATGGTCCCATTGGTACATTTCTTTTGTTGTAAGGGATACCATGTCTATAAGATCATGGTTGATAGTGTTATAGGAAGGAACTTCAGATTCATGTCCTCAGAAGAAGTGTCTGTTTTAGTAAGGACAAGTTGCTGGTACTCCGATATAGAAGGGAACCAATGTAATTAACTAGCCACCAGGTAGCTTTTGTTTCCCAGGAAATGCCCTATTGCTGGCTCAGTCTTTGTCTTTAGCAGATTAGGTAATCAACAGTGACAGTTGAAAGTTCAAATTAGTGAGTGGAGCTTTGTGTTATAGAGTCCATAGGTAACCGCCATCTGTGCTGCCATATTTACTTTGTACTGAGTAGTCACTGGGCTTCTGGGGAAGAGGCTAACTGTCATCCACAGGATGAATCATCTGATCATTTCATTAATGAGGGTTTTCTCTGCAGTGGTTGTCCTTCCACAAACAACAGGAGAAACAAATATCCTTGCATTTTGTGCTCATCTGTAGAGTTCCCATATATCTGTGCCTCAGATCCCTTGCTATCAGTCTTCTGATTATGTTCTTTTAATGTCTCTGACCATGTGGCTGTAAGCTGCTGCCCGTAAAATACTATAGAGCTACAGTTCATCTGTATAAAGTAGATAATCAGAAGCGCTGATTAAAGAGGTTCTGTCCACTGGGATTTCTCTTCACTTCTATCTTTCAGAGATTCTCCATGTCAGAGTGGTAATTGCTGGAGCATATTCTGGAGAATCACCCATAAACCAGACCTGAATTCTTTCTTCCTCAGTTACCAAATTATGGCTCCTCCCTCTGAAGTCATTG